GGATTTATGAAAACTGGTACCCCCCCCCCCCCCTGCTCCGTCCCGTGGCATGTTGCTGCTGCATACCGCAATGACGCTCAACGAACAGCGGGGCGTCAGGTGGTGATCCGGAGTTCAGCGGTCTGGGAGGCGGTGCCTTCGGAGGGAGCGGGGGTGCCGGGTGGCTTCCCGAGGAAGGGTTTGCCGCTCCCACGCTCCTCTCGGAAGTGGGCGAAGGTTTGTGTCTGCGTTTGTTGCGGCGGTGATGGAGAAAAAGGCAGAGATGGCGCATAGTCTTGCACAAAGGCGGTGGATGGAATATCCGCTCGACTTTGCTCTGGATGACGGGGGGCAGCCCCGCCCAAGGCAAGCCTTGGCCTCAGCATGTTGAGTGGGCTGCACAGCCGCGCCTGTTCAAAAATTGGTGGAATATATGGTCTCTATGTCGAAAGACGCCGTCGTATTCTGCCCTGGCACGTATCCAGTGCGCGCTCGCCAACCTACGGTGCCCTTACCTCGCATCAAACGGTGGTCTTTGGATTCCGGTTCAAACCAGGATGCAAAGGTAGTGTACGAGGACTATGTCTTGCAGCGTCAACCATGTCGTTCGACACAGTCGTAACGTCGCCTGTGGTGAAGTTTGGAAGCGCGGGCCAGCTTGTGTATCTTGATCCTGTCGTTGTGAGGTTTTGTTTTTTTTACTTCCCGCGGCGAGTCCAGCAAGAGCAGAGAGAGGGGGTGATGTGAACCAACGGTAGAGATAGCAGGAGGTGGGGGGAGCAGGCAGCAGTGCACCCGGTCATGCACGATGCTGCCGTTGCCCACGCTTTTTCATCGTCTATGCGCGGCCTCCCCCTCGAGCCCCCCGCCCTCCCCAACGGGGAAGGCGTCGGTTGACGACGCCGCAACGAACCACGGCACATCCGCTTGACCTTAACGAGGTAGCCGTGTTGATTTTGACGACATGTAATCGCCGATTCTGGTCGAGGATGGTCCAAATGTTGGGGCGTTGTTCAGAACCTGGGTACGGGGGGGTGACCGTGTCACAAAGGGCACGCAAGGCCAGACGGCCTCGAGGATAGTTGTAAAACGTGTAGACCGGGAAACAAGCCCAGCGATCGACGCTCCCATCCATGCGCAAGAAAATAAGCTCAAAGTTCCGAGGTTCACCTCGTGAGGGGTTGTTGTTGCTGCAGATGTTGCTCAAGCCTTAACGCGGCTCGCCGAACAATAACCTCTCGCCGCTCCGCACTGGGTGCTGTAGTAGGATTCTCCTCGTACGTGTAGGCAAAACCCCAATGTATTGGTCCCGGCTTTGTGGGGATGCGAAGTCATACGGACGAAAACGCTCGGGAATTCATGATCATGAATTGCTCTCAATGTCCTGACCGCGTGAATCCCCCCCGGCCCGCGGTCGACCTCCGTCGCATACCTGTATCGGCGCAGCCGAAAAGCAAGGAAGAATGCCGCTGCCTGGCACGGAACTCCCCCGTGTGCTCGGCGGCGGCCTCGTGCCCGGGAGCATGGTGATGCTTGGCGGGGACCCCGGGGTGGGGAAGTCCACGCTCCTGCTGCAGCTCGCGGGACAGCTGGCGTCCTCACAAGCTGGGTAGGTCTTGTGTTATCGTTCAGACCGACCAGGATTGCCTTCTGTGTCACCCCGGCTTGTTCCCCTAAAAACAAAATCTGCTGACCGTCAAGAATGGATGGGGATGGATGACAGTGTATGTTTTAACACGGGCCAGTATTTGGACAAACACCACCCGATCGCACACGGCGTTTTTGACGATACCCTGATACCAAACGACTGGTGCCTCATGCCTGTCTCTCGGGCACGCACCACCGGCAACACTTCTCGGCATGTGGCGGGGGCATGTAGCGCATTTGAGGCGACCTTCGAAGAGGAGGAGGAAACCGACGAAGGTTTCCAGGAGGAAGCAGGCGGCGAGGCGGGAGAGGATGCCAGGCCCGTCACGGAAGCGGAGCGGTGTCGGGCGGGCACCGTAGTCTACATCTCCGGAGAAGAGAACAACTCGCAGGTCGCGGCGAGGGCAGCGCGGTGAGCAAGATCGGCTGTCTTTTTGGTGTGTACTTGGAACAACGCATGTGTACCTTTCGTCGTGTACCAGTTAAGATCCACCACAATCGACCACTACTCGTTGCTGCTGCTACTGCCCTTCATGAAGGATGATCTACATCATGGCTGAGACACGCTACAAAACGGTCTCGACAACACTCTTCGACACCTACCGTTCGAAGAAAAAGAGGGAAGTTCTACCTACATTGACTGCTCTACTGCTGTGCTGACCGCCGCCTGCTCATTTGCCTCGCTGCACAAGGACCAAACTCCATTGCTGCAAATCAGTATCACTCCTAAACCACTATAATATACCTACGTATCCCCCTTCCCTTCAACGCGTTTTACCTACACTCATCACACACGATGAACAACATAACATGGTAGATTTCAAAATGAGCGGGAAACAGCTACACTCAACTCTAACTTTTGAAATATAAATAAAAAATAAAAAACATTGTGATGGGTGTACAACAGTCCTACTGTTGTCTATATTCAAGTCGTCTAGAACAGCAGTACTTTCTAAAAACAGCAACTTGCCAAAGGACACTGCGCCATGTTACCTGTGAAGGCCACATTCCACATACAGTACATGACTTAACGGAGAGCTTCTCCCCGACAGTTCTGTCGTTGGCCCAGTAGAAAACTGCAGGGAATGTGTTAGGAATGTATCCGACTATACAGCTGCTTTTGTTCTTAGCACCAACTGGCATCACTGATAACTCAGTGTAAGGCTTACACAAAACTCAAAGTAAGCCCAGTCTCCAGTCGGCTTCAATCCACTTACTGAAAAGACTTCACCACATCCGTTTCGACTGAGGTTATATCTCGAAAGGGTGGTCTTTCTGTCAGGTTATGTTTACCTTCTAAAAGAGAAGAGGGGTGCACGTGTCGCTATTTGATAGTACAGC